AGCTCTCTATTGCTATAAGAAACATTACGACCAAAAGCAACTTGGGATGAGGCATTTTCTCAATCAAGTGATCTAAGCTTGTGTCAAGTTGTCTAATAAACAACAATGACATTGTGCAAGCATTCAGACCTGAGTTCTAATCCCCCTGCACTCATATAAAAGGTTGAAAGTGGCAGCATAAGGCTGTAATTGTTATAACATTGGGGGCAGAGATAGGTAGATCCCAAGAGCTTCCTGGCCAGCCAGCCAGGAAGATATGATGAGCTCTGGTTCAGTTAGAAGCCCTGTCTCTAAGGATTAGGGCAAAGAGTATTATCTTTTCACATATTCCACTGACTTCCACATGCACGTATATGGACTGCCACAGTCATACACATTTACATCCATGCCCTTCTCTCTCTCTCTCTCTCTCTCTCTCTCTCTCTCTCTCTCTCTCTCTCTCTCTCTCTCTCTCTCTCTCTCACACACACACACACACACACACACACACACACACACACACACACACACACGCTATCTACATAGCCTAAAGGTATTTTGTGCCATATGTCAAATGGACCTGTATTCTGATAGTGACCTATTATACTAGTGGTGGGATTTTTCACCTGAGGCTTCCTATCAGCACAAACAGTTTTAGATTTTGCACCATTTCAGTCTTTCCCTTTTCGTCTTGATGGTGGCCAGCTGGTACTCTCCCCCAGGCCCCGCGGCGCATAGTAGTTGTTCATCCTGTACTGCACCAAAGAATCTTCAGGCATTGTTACTGCCAGCTTCCACTCTCCTTCTGTCTTTCCCAGTAGTCTGTGCACTCCTTGAGGACAGGAGCAGCTCATAACACTCACCTTTATATTTTTGATATGGATTCCCATCCAGGAATATAACTGGGCCTCAGTGAATGGTCCTTATGTCAGTCCTTATATAAGTCACTTTCATTCATATGTGAGCTGTGGTCCCAGCAGAAGAGGTGACCTCTCCCCCTGTATCCCTTCAGATAAACTTCCCAACGATGTCACAAGTAGCAAAACACACTGTTTTTATTATGAGTTGGGTCTCTTCAATAATAATAATTAGGATGACTTTTGTGCTGTTTATATAACTAAAAGAAACTCCCAGGAAAGCACAGGATAGGAGATTAGTCATTTAAGAGACAGAAGCCAATTATCTCCTCAGTATACCTGGTAAGTACTGATTTGCAGAGGGGGAACAGCAGCAGTATGCTGGCAGACATGAGCAGAGCCTCCCTCCTGTTTTGTTTATCATAATGAACTGGTCAATAAACATCACAAATTGTTTATCTATATAAATCTTGACAGATTACTCTTCATGAAATCCATTTAGCAACTGAGGTTTTCCCATAAGGATGAAAAATGAAGATTTTAAACAGATTGCGGGACCAGCTCGGGCTGTGCCTGGAGAGTTTGTGCAATAAAGGTTTCTTTATATTAATATTACGAAAACCATTTATCCTGGCAAAATCAATATCACAATTCATCTTAGTTTGTTGCCTCTCTTCTAAGCCCAAGATGTCTTCTCCTTTATTGTGTCTAATTTTGTTTTAATAAATGTGAATTATATTTCATTTGGTTGGTACTCCAAGGAGGGGCATCTGAAGAACTGCTCTCAAACTTGTGGCTTATGTGCTAAAGAGTCTTCAAAATGTTTGAAATTGTATTTGAGTGGCTGAGAAATTTATAGGAATCATTTCATTTAAGCCTTAATTACAGTATTATCCCCTGTGTCCTTTGGACTGGTAGCAAACTGTAATATTCTAGAAAATCCGCTCTGATGAACTTCACTTAAGGAAAATTCTCTCTAACTGAAACTAAGCAATTATAATAAGTCGGATATGTTCGATACAACAGCGGCTGGGAGAAGAGACAATAAAACCAGAAATAGACGCATTTAATTACTCAAAACATTGCTTGCTTTCCTAAGAAGTGATTTATTTATTCCATTTGGACTCAGAAGTTAATATCCCACAGATATTGACATAGCCAATGCTGAGCAGTGTGGATAGCAGTCGGTTGGAAGGAAATAGAGCTTCCTCAAGGGATGGAATTATGTCACACACTGCAAGCCATTACTCTAAATGCACTGTATGTAAAGTAAGTGTGATTGTCTCATGAGTGAATGGAAATAAAAATGGAAACACTCAAGAGACGCTTACTCCTGAGTGGTCTATATGCATGCATGTATATAGATATATATGTATATATATACATATATAAGGAGAGAAAGGACTGCCTCTTACTGCTCGGGCTTACTAGTATTATATTAAAAGCCTACAAACAATATAATGTAAGTGATAGTACATAATGAAATTAAGAACAAATCGGCCATTTCATTGCCTCTATAATTCCATTTTAATTCCAATGCTTAATTTTCCTCATCTTTAATACTTTGCCTGAAAAAAGAAAAAAACCTATTTAGGGATGAAATTCTAGTACAATGTGTTTAGATAAAGACCATCAGGGTTGTTTGTAGGAGGGAAAGTCCTTTTATCAGGACCATAAAAAGGACAACTATGGTACTGCCACTTTCAGGAGAAACCGTACTTTATTTATTCCCAATGGCAGATTCGTCCATCCAACAAATTTTCAGCTTATTTTGCAGCTTTAGCTTTTATCGGCTTTTTTAAGGGTGTTGAATGATTACCCGAGAGATCACGCCATAAAATTTGCAGTAGGGTGAAGTCACGATATCCACTAGTTTCTCTATAGAATAAGTAGGGAAATCTATTTAGTGTTGTTTTCATGGGAAGTCCCTGCTTAAATAGTCTTAGTGGGCTTTTTCTTTTTTTTTTTTTAAAGCATCTCTAATCTTTATATTGTCCAGATTGCTTATCCTAATGAAATGCCACAGGAAGACCATGCATGAGAATAATTTACCCTGAGGAGATAGGTTCCCCTCTCTATCACACTGAGGGGTTAGTACTGCTAATATTACAAATGATTTTAGGTCTAAGAGCTTGTAGAGCTTGTATATTACAGTGAATAGGCCTCATCATTCTATCCTATAACATTAGAACCGTTGTATAAATCAGGGTAACTGTATTTTCTCCAGTCTTATCTGTATAAATGATAGCTAACGCTAATTGTCACATTGACAAAATCTAGAATCTCTTGGGAGATGGGCCTAAGGTAACTGTGTTGTGTTAATTGAGTCGGGAAAACCTGTCCACTGAGGGTGGCGCCATTCCCTATCTGGGATTCTGAATGTATAATGGAGAAAAGGAGCTGGGCAGCAGTGGGCATCGGCTTTCTAGAAGTGACTATGGTGTGATCTCCCGTTTTCTGTCCCTCCTTCTGGACTTCCCAGCCATGACCGAGTGTCCACTCCAACTGGGGGCCAGATTCAACCCTGTCTCTTTTAAGTAGCTTTTGTCAGAATATTTTATCTCAGAAACAAAACAAAAAAATGAAACTAATGCAGTGCACAAAATGTAAATATAGCTCATATTAAGTATCAATAATACTTAGAATCTATCTGATTAGGTCAGCAAAATTTAGTCTTTACAGAATGAAATACAGAATTTGAAAAATTTTAGGGAGAGCAGTGACTTATTCTTAGTTTCTGTGTTGTAACTAGATATTTAAATAAAAATAATTTCGTAGTGCCTAATTTAAACAGTTAGCTGACCATAGAACTTCCATGGTAAGAAAACACAATTTTCATGTTATTGCATAGTTGGTATTGAGGCTAATTGGGACAATGCACCATGGCATGTGAAAGCTTTTCTGGGAGTTACTGAGACAAAGCCTCATGTAGGCTAGGCTCGTCATGAACTCACTCTGCAACTGGGAACTCCTGCTTCTCCTCCCTCTGACTTCCATATTCTGAGATTTCAGGTGTGCACCACCATGCCTGGCCAGAGTGGTGTGTGTGTGTGTGTGTGTGTGTGTGTGTGTGTGTGTGTGTGTGTGTGTGTGTGTGTGTGTAACAGGAATCTTAAAAGTTCTTATTAATAAAATCAAACCCAGGGCCAGTTATTGGGGTGAATGCTGGATGGTCAGAGAGACAGAACAAGCCACAGCTAACCTCACCTGGCCAACTTCTCAGCTGGTCTTGTTTCCTTAGACTGGAAGCTTCTGTATCCTCATTCCAATGGCTCTCAGCTGAACTACTGCTCAAAATCCTGAAGCTTAACCAGCTAAAAGCTTCTAGTTTCTGGTCCTCACGCCTTATATACCTTCCTGCTATCTGCCATCACTCCCTGGGATTAAAGGCTCGTTTTCTGGGATTAAAGGCATGAGTCACCATGCTTGGCTGTATCCTTGAACACATGGATTTCTGCCTCTGGAATGCTAGAATTAAAGGTGTGTGCTACCACTGCCTATCCGCTATGTTTAATATTGTGGTTGTTCTGTCTCTGATCCCAGATCAATTTATTAGGATACACAATATTTTGGGGAACACAATACTACCACATGTGTGTGTGTGTGGTGTGGTGTGTTTATGTGTGCACATGCTCATATCTGTGTGCTTGTGTCTGTGTACAGAGGCCAAATGTCATTGGTGGACAACCTCTGCAGTTACTCTGTACCTTGCTTTTGGAGATCAGGTCTCTCACGGAATCTTGAGCTCACTGATTCTTCTAGACTGCCTGGGCAACACACACAGGACCTTTCTGTCTCCATTGCTGAATGCCAAGTAACAGGCACTTGCCACCCAGCTGGTGTTCACATGGATGCTGTTGATCCAAGCCCAGGTTCCCATGCTTGCTCAGCAAGTACTTTACCCACTGAACCATCTCCCTGGGCCTCTTTTTGAGGCCCATTTATCCATTAACGAAAAGAAATCTTTGCATGGATTTAAGCATGAGCGGCATTTGATAAAGATCTGTTCTATTTTGTTTTATCTTATGTTCGTGCAGTTCAGGCGTCCTTTTCAATACTCCAGCAAAAGCAAGCTGTATTCAGCCACAGTGTTATTGATAGGTATCGCATTCACTGTGCATTATTAATGAGAGTGCTCTTCTCTTGTGCTTTACTTGTTTCCAGATGCCAGCCTTGTCACTGTCATCCAGCAGGAGCCTTGAATGAAACTTGTGATGTGGTCACAGGCCAGTGTTTCTGCAAACCGTTTGTCACTGGCTCCAAATGTGACACTTGTGTTCCTGGTGCAAGCCACTTGGATGCCAACAATCTATTAGGCTGCAGCAAAAGTAAGTCCATTTTAGCCTAACACTGGCGCGAGACGCGCCAGGACCAGGGAAGAGGGCCTCAGTGCTTTCCTCCATTGAGAACTCATTAAAAAGTCCTAGGCACAGTCTGGAGAAGTAAACTAAAGCAAATTTGTTAATCACACTAAATGAAATCTACGTGCTTTTCCTTGATTAAATAATTGAAATTTCTGGAATGATTATGCTGGCAGTAAAACACTCACAGTGGTCTGCTGGAATGAAATCACTCACAAAGGAAACACATTTCCCATTTCCCCCCAGATGAGCAGATTTTCCCAGAACATCGACATTTACTGTTAAAATCATGATATTACTATTTAAACAAAGCCAGTTGGTTACCCTAACTCCCAAATGTATTTCCAAGTAATTTACTATAACAAATAGAAGCTTTGTTATTTATTACAAGTTTCATGTACTGTGCTTAAAGTTTCACAAACACTATTCTAATGATGTTTATTAATATTATAATTTTATAGTTATTACTTTCACACTATACTGAGTCCTGTAATTGATATTCTGTTCTTGCTACTTCCTATTTCATATTAGTCATGAGTCTGCATCCCACATTTATAATTTTAGTTATTTTACTCAATATGGCATTTTAGTGTCTTCTGACTTTGTACCACTCTTCAGTGCCCCAAAGTGACTGCTGAAGGTCGCCTGTAGTCCTTCAATTTATAACTGTGAATCATGTTCCTATGTTTACTCTAAGACCATGTATCCATGTTTTCCCAGAATTCCTAAAAAATGGCTCCTGGACATGTGATAAAGAGCGCTCTGCAGTATAGTGTGCTGTGCATACTCTCCTCATGGGACTCTTGGTCTGTCATGAGTCAGATGCTAGAAGAGTCCCGCATCCTGATGTCACAGCTGGCCAGTTTGTCTGAGAAAATAGCATACCTGGAAGCCCACTCTCTACATTTAAGGGAGGTGGGAAAGGAGAGAGAAGGAGAAAGAAAAGGGGAAGACAGAGAGGGAGAGAGTAGGGAATAGTGGGATCTACAACTTGCTTATATATGAATAACAGCCATTCAGATTAACAAACTTGACAAGAATGTGAGGGGACAGGCAGACATTAGTATAGGACCTGTTACTGAGACTATGAGCTGCTTCTGGCTGTTGTCTGTGGTTTACAGGTGTCAAAAGGTTTTCCTGCTGGGCGATGGTGGCCCACGCCTTTAATCCTAGCACTCAAGAAGCAGAGGCAGGCAGATCTCTGTGGTTCGAGGCCAGCCTGGGCTACAGAGTAAGGAAAGGCACAAAGCTACACAGAGAAACCCTGTCTCAAATAACCAAAAATAAATAAATAAATAAATAAATAAATAAATAAATAAATAAATAAAGGTTTTCCTGAAAATCCCAAAGTAGCTCATGGTGTCCCTCCACACAGGCTGTAACCACAGGATGATCTCCATGGTTGTATTTCCTATTTCCTGGAAACATACTGATGATAGTTTACCCATATCATCTGTGATTAGTGGGGAGAGGGACAAGAAGTTCTCAGTGGGATCCTGAGATATAACTTCCAAATTGCTGAGGATTGCATATGATGAAAGTATATGATGCCCTCTCTGTTGATCAAGTCACTTCTTTCCCATCACTTAATTTCATTCTTTCAAGAGCTGCTCACCTCCCTGGATCAGAAATACAGAAGAAAATTAGGGATTAAATAGTTTTTTTGCATTGCTTCCTAGTAAATTATAGCTTGTTCTAAACTTCTATGTTTGAACTTCAACAAAACTATATATATGCAAATGCATATATTCATATGTTTTAACCATTCATAGCTCACTTGCATTTAAGAATATTAACCTCAAAGCAAAATCAAGAGACCATTTCATTCATAATTATATGAAAATAAGACATTTGGTAATTCTGTTAACAGAAGAGATATGAGACCAATATACTGTAACTGCAAGAGTTTTGCTATTACCATACATTTTAGAAGAAAAGTCTTTTTATCAGTCTCTCCCATGTTACATATATTTGGAATGCAATTTAGTCTTTTATCTTGAGACCCTGAAAGATTCACCAGATGGCTTCAGATATTTTGTATAAAATATCTGTAACTATTTTAATGGTTTCAGTTCTTTGCAAGTTTTTTGAAAATATCTCTTGACAAAAAGGATTGTGGTTTTAAAAGTCAGTCACATAGCTGCGTGGACCCCTGACAGCTCATTCAGTGGCAAGTTCCGCTAGATCACCTCTTTCAGAGTAGGTGGAGCTTGAACTTTGGAAGTTGTTTTCTCAGATTTCTTTTCCCTCTATCTCTTCTGTGTATTCTGGGAAAATAACAAAGCTCACACTTGAAAATTGGTAAGATTCCCCTAGAATACAGGAAAATTGGTGATAAAAAAGGATAGGGTTTCCAGAGTCAATTTTTATATTTCGCTGCAATTGGATGAGTGCTCTGTATGCAAGATGAGCGATCTAAACATAAGAACGCCCTTCACAAGTATTAGTCTAGTCCCATACAGATTCACGTTTCACAATGTTAGATTTTGTTTTTGTTTTTTGAAACAAGGTTTCTCTATGTAACAGCTTTGGCTGTCCTGGAACTGGCTTTGTAGATCAGGCTGGTCTTGAACTCATGACAATGTTTAGATTTTTGACACTCATATCTATTTATGTCAGCAAGCATTAGTCCTTGTAATTATGTCATTCGAAGTAAAGTTGACCTTGTACTTAGTAGAATGGAAAACTATTCACCATCTCAGAAGTATGCCATTTAAATATCAAGTTTCAAGGGAATTGTGTGTCAGTTTTTAAATTCAGCAGAAAAATAAATGTTAAGATAAAAAAAAAAACTATTCTTGGCTGTGTATATATGGCTTCATCTTAACATCCCGTTCTTCTCCACATCCCTCTGTCAAATGCCAGTTTACTATTGCGAGGCGTGAGCTTAGTTACTCTTCAAGAATAACTGTTTCAGCTGCTGTTCCATTGCACATCAGAAGCCATCGGCCCACTGCCTATTCAGCTGCCTTCGAAGAAAAGGGCACTGTACCTTTTCCAAATTGCGAAGGCCACTTCAGGGATGGTGCCATATTGTCCTGGCCTCAGAAGATGCCTTTTGATAAAGCCATAACCACACTCGTTTTGGCAAGAATCAGTAGTCCTTTGTTTCATGTCCTGTCTGTCCATTTTGTCAGCAGTTGATTCAAGGATACTTTGTTGTCCAGTGGCTAACTTTTGCCACAATGAAAGTTAACTCCATATGCAGTTTCTTCAATGCCCATATTTTCTCTGAAGTAGATTGGTACTGCCAGGAGCCGACATGTCTCATAATCATAACAAAAAAGAAAAATTTTCTAAGTTATTAAAACATTTTAAATGCCATATTCTGTAGATCTCTGAAGGGTTTGAAGATGACCTGTCTAAAATATATCTGCTCAATTTTTAAAACATATCTAATATGACTACAACTTCTATTGTAATGTCTAACTACTAACTTTCATTTCTTTTTTTTTTTTTTTTTTTTATTAATTTATTTTGCAATACAATTCAGTTCTACATATCAGCCACGGATTCCCTTGTTCTCCCCCCTCCCGTCCCCCTCACCTTCCCCTCAACACACCCCCCCATTCCCATCTCCTCCAGGGCAAAGCCTTCCCCACAGACTGAGGTCAACCTGGTAGACTCAGTCCAGGTAGGTCTAGTCCCCTCCTCCCAGGCCGAGCCAAACAATCCTGCATAGGCCCCAGGTTTCAACAACAATTTCCAGAATTTAAAATCCTGAATCATGACATGACACTAGTGGAATTCAGGTGTTTCTGGTACATGGACTGCTCTCACCCAATGTGAGGTTGAACTGTCGACCTTGTGTACATCCTACTTCACAAATGAGTCTGTCAGATATGCTAAGCCTATAGGCTGAAGATGATGCCCCAACACTGTGGAGAAACCTCAGGTGACTGTCCAGGCAGCTGGCTGTTTCTGTCAACTCACAAATTTTTTGGAAGTTGCTTGCATGCACTTTCTGTTTTTATTTTTGTTAGCTAATATTATTTCCTTCTTGGGTCTCTGAGGGAGTTGAAGATTAGTTAGTTATAGTTGAAGGTTAGTTAGTTATAGTTGAAGATTAATTAGGATAGAAAGTGAATTAGATACATTTTGGACTTAACAAAATAGGATAGATAATGAAATTATTTTCTCTGAATTTGTCAAATACAAATGGACTAGACATTGTTTAGACATTTATTACTTGTATATATTGTATATAGTCATTGTACTTTTGTATATAGTTTTTCTTTTGTTAGTTATAACCTTTTTCTTTTTTTTCCTTTTTATTAAAATAGAAAAGGGGAAAAAAAAAAAAAAAAAAGAAACAACACAAATGGGGGGGGGGGCGTTGGGGGGAAGGTGAGGGGGACGGGAGGGGGGAGAACAAGGGAATCCGTGACCAATATGTAGAACTGAATTGTATTGCAAAATAAATTAAAATAAATAAAAAAAAAAAAAAAAAAAAAAAAAAAAAAAAAAAAAAACTAAGGTGCAGAAATGCTTGACTACCCCGTGGTTTTCACCTAACCCTATCTATGTCAGCTGCTCTGACCTACAGGTGTGTCTTATGCTTGTAGATAAAAAGCTTTGTCTTAGAGAGTTAGTGATGCATACCCTTTGTTTATTAACATCTTGGTAAACCACACGTCGTCGTGATAAAGTGACCCTGAATCAGAAAGACTTCTTTGCTGGGCATCGTACTTCAGTTTCCTAGTGTGTTTATCGATTGCTTCTGTTAATATATGCTCTCTCCATTGCCATTTAGCTCCAGCCCAGCAACCTCCACCCAGAGAACAGGTTCAAAGTTCTTCCTCCATCAGTCTCTCCTGGAGTCCACCTGTTTTTCCCAATGCCCACTGGCTTACTTACACTCTGCTCAGGGATGGTTCTGAAATCTACACAACTGAAGATCAGCTCCCATACCGTGAGTTCTAGGATTTGGTCATGGAAAGATGTGGTATTCTAAGAGTGGATGTCAGTCAAATTCTCTGACATTGAGGGAAAACGTCATAGTTCCCTCTGTGAGCAAAGAGCGTCTCATGTAGCGAGAATTATAAATCTCACTAGGAATCAAAAAAACACAATGAAAATAAGATGTATAGTGTTTGGTAAGATGATTATCGACTTTCCTGAGAGGAAAGCTGTGAGTCCATCCATCATGATTGGTATATCAAAACCGGAACACTAATGAACTTCAGAGTGTTTGTACTGGTTCACAAGCATAGCCTTTTGCACACATTAAATTGTTAAAAATATATGAAATCTTTTCCATCATATCATATATCATTGGACTCATACTTACCATAGAAATTTTATCATAAATAAAAAGCTACAAATGAACACAAAAATCCCATATCCATTCCTATGTGGTTTGTAATATTAAAATGTTAGAAATGATTCAGACATCCAGAAGTCTTACAGTATGGTATCTGCAAAACGTAATCAATCCTACTACACTGCTAAATATGTTATAGGCTATGAAAAAGTGTGTCTTACAAATCAATGGAGGAACACTATGACATTCAGATTGAAGAAATCAAAAGGTATAAAAACACATGAATTGTTACATTTCAGTTTACAAAGGTTGAAAGTGTGACATCAAGTAGACTATAGTTTTTTCTGGAAGTAAATATTACCGAAATTTGTCAAGTGTTTCAATTCTAGTCTTTTCAATCTTACAGACAGAGTCTCTCATGACCCAGGCTGGCATTGAAGTGCTGGAATTATAAGCATATATGACTGTGCCCAGATCATGTTTTTGAATTCTAAGGTAGTGCAGATTTTGAAATCTGAATCATGATACTTACTAATAGTGATTCATATGATATAACTTTATACAAATGTTGCCTCGTTCACGCAGCTGCAGCACAGCACCAAATGCTTACTTTGAAACAGAGATGCTAAGAACATAAGCAAGAAGACTGATTGGGCTCAGTAACTTTTGTAAACTTATGAAATGAGCTTGTTGATGTTCAATTTCAGGAAATTATCATTTTTTAATTGAACTCAGGTGTAGCATGAATCTTAGAGAGTTCTTATTAATAAAATCAAACCTGAGCCAGGTATTGGGATGAACTGGAAGATCAGAGAACCAGAACAAGCCACAGCTAACCTCACCTGGCCAACTTCTTGTCTCCTCAGACTGGAGGCCTCTGAGTCCTCATCCAGAATGGGTCTCAGCTGAACTCTGCTGCTCAAAAGCCTGAATGCTTAACCAAGCCAAATGCTTCTAGTTTCTGGTCCTCACGCCTTATATATCTTTCTGCTTTCTACCATCACTCTCTGGGATTAAAGGCTCGCTTTCTGGGATTAAAGGCATGAGTCACCATGCTTGGCTGTATCGTTGAACACATGGATTTCTGCCTCTGGAATGCTAGGATTAAAGGCGTGTGTGCTACCACTGCCTATCCTAAATATCTAGTGGCTTTTCTGTTCTCTGACCCCAGATAAGTTTATTAGGGTACACAATATTTTGGGAAACACAATACCACACTCACGTGCCTTAAATACAGCATCCTTAATACACTGAAGGGTTTTTTGGTTGTTTGTTGATGGGCTCACAGCTCTGTCAGCTTCTGCTTCTAGTCCTGCTTAACTACAAACTATTTTAGAAAACTGCCTTAGGAAATCTTAAAAGAGTGGGACCCATTGAAGCTACTGTTTCCTTGTCTTCTGCACTCCTTTTCTTCCAAATGTTGTGTTTTCTTTATTGTGATTGTGTATGCATGCATACCATGCCACATATACAGAGGTTGGAGCACAGCCTTTGGAGAGTCAGCACTCTCTTCCCAGGGAGGTTTCCAGGTACCTGCCTCGGGTTGTCAGCCTTGCTCAACAAGCACTTTTACCTGTAAAGCCCTCCAATTCTTTTGTAACATGAATAAGCAGCTTTATCATGCACGTAAATCAAAGTTAAAAGACTGACATTCCATAGCCTTCTTTAACATGGATGGAAGAAAGCCAGGTCTCACATACTGTCTGGCCTCAAAGCTCCTAAGTAAATGACAGATACTTTTTATCTATTATATCAGCAGATTACATTCCAAATGTAATCTAATCATGTCTTGCACCCACTTTTTATTGTGTCCTCCACTTTCTCTTCACGCTAAATATCCCTTCCCCGTTTCTACTCTTCTGTGGAGTTAATGGAAATTCTGAACTTCACAATGCAGGTTGGGATGGGAAGCAAACATCTGTCCACATCTGCCATGTTGGCAAAGCATCCAAAAACCTGCTACTAAAATGTCTATTTTCTTCCAAAAGTCAGCAGGATCCAGGTGTTCTGAAACTTAAACTTTAGTGACAGGGGAAAGAGGGAGTTATAAAAATATTGCAAATGGTTTCTGAGTTGACAGGACTACTGATTGAATTATCTCTGAAGATGCAACCAGACTGGCTCCATCTTCCAAGCAGCCTTGAATTTAATTTGAACCCATCAGTGGTCCATTCAATCCATGTTCCTCACAGTAGCATTTTGTGATCTACTTGATAAAATGGTACATAGGAATATAGCACCAAGGCTTTTTGTGTGATTGTACTAACATAGAATCCAAACAATGGTTTTGTAGGTAATAAATATGCACTCATTCACTAAGACATTTCCATAATCCTATTAAATAAAGTATTATTTCCTAAAACATTATTTTTCATTAAAAATGCCACATCTGGCATTTGTCGACAACCATCATAATTAATGATGTGAAAGTTATCTGCATGATGGCATTTGAACAGTGGGCACAATCAGTGAGCACGGTCAGAACTTTCCAGCATTCTAATAATACCCTGTGTTTATTGCTCCAGCCTCAGTGCCTGGGTAGCATGAATAACATGAAAAGGAAACACTATTTCTATTCAGCCGAACGAGCACAGATCTGTGGGTTAAACGAAGGCAGTTGGAATTATAGGAGGAGAATCGCTGAACTTTTCAAAGAAAATTAATAGTGTTGTCTTCCCAGCAGGTTTGATCCTTTAGTGGAGACCATTATAGAATTCCTCATTAGTACAGAAACTTCCCCGGCTAGCCTGGAGTCCTAAGGGATGCTCTTGGAGAGCATTTTCTTACCATCATCATCTACCTCTATATTATCATCTTTAAAGCTTTTGAATGACTTTTCTTTGGTAATAACACACCGTATTAGTTGACATTAAAACCAACAGCCAGACATGCTCATTAAGGGGGATCATTTGAAAGTTTCTGCATAAAGGTGGTAACTAAGTTATAGTATATTCACTGGCTCCCAAAATAAAATGTTAACTGGTAGACATCCCACATGCTGTGAGAAGTAGAAGAGTATGTGATTGAGTTAGCGCTTTGTTTTTTTATGATTTATTTATTTATTTGCTTCCATTTTTGAGAGGGGAGAGAGAATGTGTGTGTGTGTGTGTGTGTGTGTGTGTGTGTGTGTGTGTGTGTGTGTGGCATGTGCATATGTTTATATATGTATTTTATGTGTATAGATGGGTGCATGTGTGTGCATGTGCATATGGAGGCCCAGTATACACTCACTTGGTTTCTCAGCCAAACCCAGAGCTTATCAATATGTCAATCACTAGCCAGCTTACTCTGGGAAACTGCTATCTCCCAGAAGCAGTGGTATGAAGCTGGAATTACAGGCAACTGACATAACCTGGTATTTATATGAGTACTGGGGATTTGAATTCCAGTCCTCATGCTTGTTCAGCAAGAACTTAACCACTGAGCCATCTCTCCAGCCCTCAAGTTAGCACTTTAGACTTCTACTCACTCAGCACTTTGCAGCGACCCCCACCCCCACCCCACACCTGGCTTTCCAAAGGCCTCTGCTATATCATCAGTGAGAAGAACACAGTTATCAAAGACAACAGAATCCTTTATTTAGTGTTTCCTATTTAAGACCTTCTCAGTAAGTTTTGTATATACATACATATATTAATAGTGTTATCTTCCAATCAACGTATATTATATATATTGAAAACAAAGGAATACCAGACATAATAGAGAGATGGAACCTAAAAACTGAAAGTCATCATCCTTGCTGATGAAATACATATTCAACTCCAGGAACTGAGTAAGGGGTTGAAAATGCAGCTCAGTGATAACATGTTTGCCTAGTGTGCTTGAGGTCCTAGGTTTGAGCCACAGCAAAACAAAACAAAAATAAACCTAACTATGGGGTTGGAGAGGCAGTTCAGTGCTTAAGTGCATGTAATACATTTGCAGAAGGCCCGACCTGAGTTTGGTTCCCAGGATCTCTGCTGGTGGATCACAACCACTTATAACTACTCCTCCACTGTATCTAACGTCTTTGAACTTCCACAGTCAACTACCTTCATGTGCACATACCTAGACACATACACAGAAATACACATAATTAAAAATAAGAATAAACCTTATGAAGAGGAATTAACAGTTACCGTATTACTGATCCAGGTATGCCAATGATCATTGCGACATTATTCATCATGAACATGATATGGAATCACCATAGGTACCCATTGAAGGAAACACGGCTAAAGAAAATTAATGGATTCATTTTGCATGATGGAATATTATTTATCCATCAGGAAGAATAAAATTTTTCTTTACAATCTAGAGGGAGATGGATGGGAAGCTATCATAGTGAGTGGAATAAGCCTGACTAGATACAGGATTATCACACATGCTTCTCCCATATGTTGGATGCCGATATTTTGTAAAAGATATGGATATAGGAGGGGACTGTATCTGAGAAGAAAAACTAGAGCCAGAGTGAGGAGGTATGGACATGAGAGAGGAAAATGATGAAAGTAGAGTGTATCAATAGATGAAAGGATCACAAGAAAACCCATTATTTTATGCATGCTGATAAAAAGTCATATGGGAGGACACACCCATCCTCTTCAGGGACTCAGAGCAGAACACAGAGAAGTCGGTAGGCAGGTGTGACCTCATGGCAAAGTCCTTGTTTCCGATTTGCTATTGGTATAAACTGTTATTTCTCCTGCAGGATGATTGAGGGGATGGGGGGTTTTTCTATAGGGGGACCCCTTGGAGAACAAAACACGAACAGAAATCTACTTCTAAGTGTTCTTTGATGCAGTCAACACTTTACTCACAACATACTAGACAATAAGTTTTTTCACAGGAAACTGCAGCGTGGTTGTTTCTTATCAAGCAACACTGCTCTTACACATTCTCAGCCTTGGAGATAAGAGCACATATTTTGAAAATACAATGATCTGGCAAGTACTTGACCCTGGGGTGAATCTCCTCCTTGGCCCCCACCAGAAGCAGGTCCTCAGGGAGTTTTTCATTACAGAGCCTTGGTAAACTTCTTCCATTCAGCCCACCATGGCAGCACATTAGCAATGAAGTCTGGATCTCAGCCCTAGTGGACTCCTCTGAACAGGGGTGGTGATGTTTCTCTGTCTCTCTCATCCTTTACTTCTGTGGAGGATGCTGTACTCCTTGGTCAGCAGAGCACAAGGGATATTCATGCGACGGTTGTTTCCGTGAAGAAATTGCAGGGATGTGTCCCCAGAACAATGAAAGCACCTCCACTCGGGTCCTCACTTACATTGTTAAACCTACTACTCTCTCCCTCATCCCTCAACTGCCACGTTAAGTGGCATTTAAGGGAGGATAACTTCCCTCTGGCCTTTAGCAGAAGTTCCTCCTGAGGATACTGGCTTGTTGAAGTGTGGTGGACCAGTTTCATCCTTGACATCCCCATAACACTGATTTCAGGTGAAGCTGCTTTTTCTACAGCAGTCAGGTTCTTATGAACACTCCACCACATTCTGAGCTTTTCCCTCCTGCATCCAATATCTGACCCTTCCAGAGGCTTAAAGTTACCTTGCCCCAACCAAAAGCATGGGTGGTCCACTGGCTCTCATCACAGAGTCCTTTCCATTCAGAAATCCAAGAAACTCTGTGGATTAAAATTAGACTCCAGGTATCTATTACTCCTTAGGCATCTAGATATGCAGAAACCTTCAGTCTTGCTATAACAGAAACCTCCATGGACCCCCAAACAATCACACAAAGAAGCAGTCAGCAGCAGTCTGACATTTGTTTCATAGGTCTTCAATGTATTTGCTGTTGTCTCCATAGAGAATAGAGGATTTAGGCACATAGATAATCATGACCACTACCTATCTCTCATTTATCAGCCTCTGCTTTCTACCACCTTCTCCCTGACCTTTCTGTCATTTATGCATGGAGATTCTGCTCATCTCAAACTTCTCTTGTACAACCTCTCTGTGGTTGACAAATATCTCCAAGATTTGGCAAAATTCATTTATGGTTGTATGTCATTTTAATAGGTCAGGAAGGGTCCAGTCAAAGTATTAGGCAGGAGAAGGGTAGTTTCTTGGTGGCAGTTTGCAGAGGGCTGGACTTGTGTATCAGCTTTTGGCAAATAGACCAGTTGTACTGAAAGCAAATATGTGTTTCAGAGATTGCAAGGACTTCCTCTGGGTTCTTCTATAGGGGGACCCTGTGGAGAACAAAACACAGACAGAAATATACTTCTAAGTGATCTTTGATGCATTCAACACTTTACTCACAACATACTAGACAATAAAAGCAACTAGTAGTTGCCTGATTTCCCTCTTAAAAGCATCAAACACACCCTGATTCTAAAGAGTTGATCAGCATACTAAAGAGTTAAATAGCATGAGAATAAGGCCATTGGAAATGATTCCTTGGCAATTGTGAATTCTGACTATCTGGTTTTTCTTTTTTATTTCAGAAACTCAGTACTTCTTTGACACTAGCCTGTCACCACACACGTCATATTCATATTATATAGAGACCTCCAGTGTGCATGGTTCAACCAGGAGCATAGCTGTCATTTATAAGACGGAGCCAGAGGTCTCAGAAGGACACTTGAACTTGACTCATGTCATTCCTGCTGGCTCTGACTCTGTGACACTTACCTGGTCTGCACTCCCCAACCACTCTGGTCCTGTGGAGAAGTATGTTTTATCATGCACACCTATGGACAGCATTGAGCCCTGTGTCTCCTACGAAGGTCAGGAAACCTCAGCTACCATCTGGAATCTGGTTCCATTCAGCCACTACCGTTTTTCTGTCCAGGGGTGTACTAGTCGGGGCTGTTTACACAGCTTGCCCATTATAGTAACCACAGCCCAAGCACCTCCTCAAAGGCTGAGGCCACCTGCACTACGGAAAGTCAGTTCCTCAGAACTCCACATAGAATGGTCTCCACCGGGGAAACCAAATGGTAAGAATTTAAGGCCTTGGCTTCTCTTTCCTTTAGGAAACCAAGACAGTAGAAATGTAGCAAGATGGGCAACTCTCTTTGCTTATGTGAATGTAAGGCATATACCTGGGAAATGATTTCTGAAGATATAAAATGCTATTTCTACTGGACAGTAGAAGAGGATATTTCATCTAATTGAGGAACAAATTCCATTCAATTAAATTGCTCTTTAAAAGGCTAATATTATCTTTGCTCTTAATGGCATCTGCCACAACACAGATGATGTTCATAATTGGATGCTCACTTATAAAATGCATTATATTTGACTGAGTCACAAGTTAGGGCACCCATAAGCTGCAAATTTTCTCTTTTAAGCAAGAAAAAGATATAAAATAATACAAAAAATTGTATATAGGCTAGTTGATTCCATTAAGTTAATTTTTGTGTTCTTAAAATTGAACCTTGAGGTGCAGAGGCCAGACACACATTCCTAATTTTTTACTAATTTATATTATGTACATATCATGGCAAAACTTAGCATCAAACTTTTTGTTGCTTTTTAAAAACTTGATACAAATAGCTACACAATATTTATGCAGATCTGTCTTATGTCAAATATGTAATTAAATCCAGTGTATTCAAAATATGCAAACTGGAAGTGGAATATGCAGGTACCCTAAAAGTACTGGATATCCTTAGCAGAAATTATGAGTACCCATTCTGCAAGTGTTTCATTTCACCTATGGTAAATTATGGTTGTTTTGTATTTATACTTCTTTTGATTTGCTTTCTCCCAAAATAGCATGGCTTTCATGCTATTTTGTAATCAGTTTTGCTGCTTTCATATGCACCTGTCTTATAGATCACAAAATTTCTACACCTAGAAAAGAATCAATAGGTAATATAGTCAGAATACTGAAAAGCTGGCAGCCTTAAATGTCCAGTCCCTAAATAGCCCCATTGACTAGATCACTTCAATGTACTATCTCTTTTCTAGGTATAATTGTAAGATATGAATTATACATGAAGAGATGGCCATCTACTAAAGAAAGTCGCGTGTTTGGGAGCAGTGGTTGGCTCAGTCCTCACCCAGCTTCAAAGTCGCCCAACAAGAGTGAAAACACACTTCAGCCTCCCCAAATCAATGTGTCCATCTCTGGCTTGGAGCCACACACAGAGTATGCATTTAGGGTCTTAGCTGTGAATATGGCTGGCAGTGTGTCATCAGCCTGGGCCTCAGAAAGAACAGGAGAATCAGGTAAAAACCAAATTTTTTGACTTCTTACTTAAAAACCACTCAGTGAAAGTGCTATCTGGAAATTAAGATCAAAAAGACATTTGAGGTGAAAAGAGGACATGATTTAGCTATGAATTCATTTGCAGAGGAGAAAGCTTAACTCTAGCTCTAGTTTTGGGGTACAAGGGGTCCCTTCCCCCAAATAGCAGTTGATTTCCAGTGTTGGGTGGGTGGGCACTTAACCTAATCTTGCTTTGTGTTTTTCATTGTTTACCAACAGTGAAAGAGTTTTTAGTTTTACAATTAACTTTTTTCTCTTTTCAAAACAAATATTGAAGGGAATCAAGTTTACACAATGACGTAAACTAGTACATCAAAAGGTCTAACCCCAAATGTGTTTAGAAACAATCAGAATTAAAGTATGGGAAGAGAGCCAAAAGTTTAGTTTTCTCATGGTATCTTTATCAAGGTAACTGATTTATTCTTAATTTTCCACTTTATTCTTCACATAAAGTGGACTTTCAATTCCATGAGCATTGAAGAAAATAAGTATATTTTTGCTATGTGCTGAATCTAAAAATATTAAAAAACCCAAAACCTGCCCTAAATTTAACAGGTTGAAACTATGAAGGTTGAAGGTAGCTTTGAATGGATGTCCAAGAGCCTCATTGAGTGAATAAAATGTGTATTGTGTTGGACCATCTCTCAAAGACTACTTAACATCTTGGACAAACTAGAGGGCCATGAGAGCAGAAGTATTGAGTCATGGAGTTCTGGAAGGGGAAAACTAAGATCTGAAATGGGATATAACAGATGAAACAGCATCCATGTACCCTCATAATCTTGTGGATCACTGGGAAAGGAAAATGCAATGAGGCCCTTTGACAGCACACCTTTGGTAGTTCATTTAAATTCTATACGAAGATGTCAAGGATGGTGAGAGTAAAGTGTGTGGTATCTGTGTGCTGTGAACACTTCAGGAAGGACTGAGCAAAAACTGTGAGTTTCTTTGGGATCATTTAGTCAATTTTAGATGTACTTCTTAGTGGAATGATTTTTCCCAGCCTCATTGGTTCATCTCAGTGAAACATGGCTTTCCATGAGAAACTTAGTATGACATCCTGCATCTTATGCTTTGGGGACTATGACAAGTTCTGTTTCTGTCTTATTCAAATTTCTTATCAAATTATTCACTACCTATTTTCATGAAATAGAGAGGTTTCTATCAGAGTTTTCCTGTGTGTGTGTGTGTGTGTGTGTGTGTGTGTGTGTGTGTGTGTGTGAGAGAGAGAGAGAGAGAGAGAGAGAGAGAGAGAGAGAGAGAGAGAGAGAGAGGAGAAAGCACATTCTTGTGTGCATGCAGAGGAAACCATTAGGTGTCTCTTCTATCATTCTCCACCTCATTTCCCTGTGACAGGGTCTCTCACTGAACCTGTAGCTAGCTTGATGACTACCAATCCCCAGTGAGCTTCATATCTTTGCCTGACATGGCAATGGGGTTACAGATGTATTTGAGGTCATCCCCAGCTTTCTGCATACATACTAGGATCTGAACTCAGGTCCTCATGCTGTGTATCAATTGCTCTTACCCACTCAGCCATCTCTCCATCCTGTCAGTCTGAATTTTATTTTGTAAATGAAAAATGCCTTACCTGACAATATCAGGATAGTAAACATCCCTGTGGATGACAGTTTAAAGTGAATATGTAATATATATCTGTATATTTTTTTATTTCTGAAAATGAAAACACTTTACAAAGAATAGGGATTTGAAGAAACTAGAAGGGCTAAATCTGAAATCGTGTATGGATGACATTTTTGCGTTTGATGTTGTTTTTGTCTTTGTTAGCACCTGTGTTCATGTTCCCTCCTTCCGTTTCTCCACTCTCGTCACACTCTCTCAGTGTCTCCTGGGAGAAGCCAGCAGAACACTTTACAAGAGGAGATATTATAGGGTACAACATCAGCATGGTTTCTGTACAGTCCCCCCAACAAGATGTTCCAGTGATGTGCTCAAAGGTATTTTTTATTCTCAGCTCATTTCCTGTCTGAATTGAATTATGGCTTTATTTGATATTTTCTGAATTTACAGAATTCTGTGGAAGAATCTCTCTCCAAATGTGTTCATCAAATGGGCCATGTTCATTATCATAACATCACATGTTCAAGGTCTTGAACATGTCTATATATGCTTACCACTTATTTTTCTAATGTGCTGAACTAAAGTGGTTGTAATTTTATTTCATGAGACCTGCTGTTTCCACTTAGTCTTAAATATTTTCCAAGAAGTCCTTTCAACAACTATGTACTATGTAAGATAATCTGAAAATATTATTTGAACACATAATAGTGCATTTAACCAGTCCACAATCTGTCAGTATTTATATTGTATTCATTTGGATGTCAAAATGACATTGACAAGACCATCTCATATGCACGTTTTGTCTATGTCTTCATTTCCTTGGGAAAAGTCATGGAGAACCAAATTGATTACAATATAACAGAAATCATGGCAGTAGCGCTGAAAATGAAGCCCTGTTGATAAAGTGCTTGCCTAGCATGTGTTAGGCCTTGGGCTTGTTTCCCAGTACTACATAAAACTCGGCATGGTAGCACAGGTCTGTAATCCAACCACTCTAAAGGCAAAGGGAATAAGAGATGACGTTCAAAGTCACCCCAACTACCTAGTGAGTTTGAGGCTTGCTCAGGTTACATGAGACCTGTCTCAAATTTTCTATGTTGATATAATTCATATAAATGCTATTAATACAATAAATTTGTTCAAGGCTTTGGATGTATGTTCACATCTTGTCTTCTAGTAATATCTACTCCAGTGATGTGAATATAGAGTGTTAACAGTTACAATGCCTTACTGTGTCCAAGTTCTAGCTCATTGGATATGAAAGATTCTAGAAAATGAGAGGCTCTCATTCCCTCCAGTTCAGAGATGAAGTACTTTACCTTTCTAGCCTATTTTATAGACATAGTACTGTACCTGGATAGAGGCTATTGGTGTCAACTGCATGTGTTATCCTATATTCTTGCCTGCTCACTTTTATTTCTGAGGGACATAGTCTTTGATGAACACTAGCATGAGATAATAAGATATCTACACCTCTTGTCCAATCTGTGCACTTCCTGTTTCCTAGACTTCCCATACTCTGATCTTCTGATCTTGTTTCATGTCCATGACCAGAGTGGTCAAGTTCTGTCACACAATCCACATGTGTTTTCCCTTGAGATGCTTCTCTCCATGTATTGTAGCAGGAATCTTAGAAAGTCTTATTAATAAAATCAAATCTGTAGCCAGGTATTGGGGTGAAGCTGGAAGATCAGAGAACCAGAACAAGCCACAGCTACCTCACCTCGCCGGATCCTCAGCTGATTCTGTTTCCTCAGACTGGAGGCCTCTGAGTCCTCATGTGAATGGATCTCAGCTGAACTGCTGCTCAAAAGCCTGAATGCTTAACCAGCCAAAAGCTTAACCAGGCCAAATGCTTCTAGTTTCTGGTCCTCACCCCTTATGTATCTTTCTGACTTGTACCACCACTCCCTGGGATTAAAGGCGTGAGTCACCATGCTTGGCTGTATCCTTGAACACATGGATTTCTGCCTCTGGAATGAGAGGATTAAAGGCGTGTGCTACCACTGCCTATCCTAAGTATCTAGTGGCTTTTCTGTTCTCTGACTCCAGATAAGTTTATTAGGCACACAATATTTTGGGGAACACAATACCACCACAATGTATAGTGGGGAAACAAGTGCAATGCCTGAAGGTTGGTCCTCTGAGAATATTTGTCTTCACTGCTGTTTCTGAGAGCCACCATAGTGGGACCATGTAGCAGCAGCCACCTAGCCTATCCTTATAGCTACTTTCTAAGACAACCTTGGTGTTTGGCGCTGGTGTTCTCCTTTCTTTATGGTTTAGAGATAACTTCCAAGATCTGCATGACATTCTTTGGGCTGTCCTCAAGCCTTAGATTTCCATTTCTACCATAGGATGCATTTTGGTTGAGTCTATCTGACCTTAAGACTTGACATATCTGAAAAGGAATCCAGCCAATGAGAAGTAAGTCCAACTGTGTATTCATTTGATGTTCTGTTGGATGCTCTGGTGTGATGAGAGCCCAGTAGCTTGCTGAGAGACTTAAGCAAATAGTTTAGGGTGACTAGAATTCCTATCACTTTATGTGCCTTTGCTCTGCCTACTGTCTACCTTGTAGCTCTCTTTCCACAAATACATCACAATATTTTCCCACTATGATGTGTCCCAGAGCCATTGGATCTAGTAGGTTTAATGTCCCAAAAAGTTCATCAGTCAACAGCACAGCCTGAGCCTATGACTAAGCTACTTCCTGCTCTGGGACAAATCAAGTAGCAGAATTTTATATTGACATGCTGATCAGAACAGTACCCTTATGGAAGTTTCTTCACCAGACATTGAGCTTCTTACTGAAGGGTGCAAGATAAAATGCTTTTAAGGATGCAAGACATAGCTATTTTTCTTCTACTTTGGACTGGTTACATGTCCTAGATGTCACAGACAACTTGGCCTCCTAAAACCCCAGCTGATGCTCCAAATCCCTTAATCTTTTATAAAGTTAATCTCCTACTCTCTGGAACACACAGCTTACTGAGATCTCCATACACTTGTTTCCTGCTTATCTGATCCATTTAACATGATTTTATTGACACAGACAAACAATACTTTCAAGAAGGATTGTATAGTTTCTCTTAAATTGATGATGACCCTAAGATTATCTTTATTTACTATACAGATGACATTGGCAATAGCCATCTGATTGCACAGTCCTAAAAATTAATACTCTCTCTCTAAAGTTACCTTAATGATTAGTCCACCACTAATGTAAGTTTAAAAATTGTGCTGCTCTAGCAAAGTTGTAGGCTGCCGGGAGTCTACCTACCTGAACCCTCACTGTCAGCCATCTGGGGTGGTCCAGCTGCAGGATACCACATCAATACTTTGACAGTTCCCTCCTATGAATCTAATGCCTCACATGACTGTTGTAGTTCTGTTTTTCCAGAGAACACCAAACAAAGTAGAAGACTTGAGTACAGTGGGTGTACTCAGAAACAGCAGATAGTGTAAGGAAGTCTGTCACTATTGAGAGTAAGAAGCTAGGTTATGAAACCACTGTTAAAATGTCTCAACTGATATCCCAGACAGCTCTAGAACCAGAATCCTTTAAAGCTGCCACAACAGGGTAGAGACACCAGGTTTTTCAACCTCGGCACTATTTGTTTACAAACACCGCCTTCAAAATCACCATAAACTGAGTGGGTTACAATGGCATATATTGATTCTCTCAAGTACTAGAGTTCAGAAGACTTAAAACCAAGCTGCTGGGAGAGCCATACTCCTTCCATGTACCCTACAGGATGCCCTTACATGCTTCCTCCAGTTTCTGCCAGGTGCTTGGTGACACTCCTTGCATTGTGCCAACATATTTCTCATTTCAGCTTGGTCAGCTTGCTTTACCTCTACTCTCTCTGTCTGTGGGGGTTTTCATTCCTCCTAAAAGGGTACCAATTGTCATATGGAAGGCTAATCCTAAATGCTAGATGGATTAACTCATTTCCTCCACAAATAACTCATTTCAAAAGGTGAAATTCTCAAGTTCTGGGTAGACATGCATTTTGGGGAAGACCCTCTTTAAATCTCTGTGAATATATTTGCCTTTTTCTGAGCTGTTTTAGTGGACAGAACACACACACACACACACACACACACACACACACACACACACACACCATAGAAATTTATTTTTGGTCTAGACAAAGAGTCAATAATAAATTTATGATTCTCTATTGTCCTTTCCCATCCATCTGCATATGTGACTTTTTCAACTATCTCATGATTAAACAGCATCTAGTATAATAACATGCTTTTCAGTTTATACAAATTACTGTACAAATCTGCTGTGCTGTAGTTGCTTAGGTAAATTTATAAATAAGACTGGTGTTTGGTCTTTGATCCTTATGTTCCATATTTATCATTGTCGTTTTGGCTCACAGTTGTATTTTATCTATCCTCTTATTCTTAGGCTCATATAACTTTTGAGTCATTACCTAGATAATCATTCCCAGTATACTTTGTTGGACTCCTGTAGGGAAATTACCTAAGAAATATTTGAAATGTTGTTAAACTCTGTGAGCATCTGAACCTGTGTCTACTTGTGAAGTATTATTTTCTATGAATGTCAAACCTAAGAACCATGTCAGTAACTACATAGCCTCTTGACAGAATCAAGAATCATAATAAACATGAGCCACAGGGTTGCCACTGATGTAATTCAACAGACTTTTACTATATAACCTTTTTATAACTATAAATATCATACCTCAATGATAAAACATATAATATAGCAAACACATCAAGCAACACCATACTCATTTTTAACATTACCAAGTCTTCCATACTGTACATGGCTATGTGACCTATTTGTAGCCTTGGTGGTACAGTACCATTGATTTATATGGGCACTATCACGAACATTTGACTGCTTGTCTTATGACATTAAATAGCTATGGCATACCTAGGTAGGATAAGCATTTAGATCTTGTGATTGTAAAGAGCCACAATTACATATGCAATCTGGTCTGTGGTTGACCCAACCATCTGTGCATAGTCCAATGAGTGCATGTCAGTAGCCCTAAGAGAAAAATCATTTCATATTCATAGTTCTGTCTCTGTGACATTCCCCCCTAAATATAACTTACGTCTACCATCTAAGCAAGTTTTCATGGTTGCTTGTTATGGGTTCTAGTCATAATGATAGGATGAGTTTTCTCTGGCTGTTTAATTGCTTATGGTCTTCTTCCCAATCTCTTTTGCTCAAACCCTCCGCTTTCATTTGAAAATGTAAGATGGTGACTATATTTCAAGAAATGTAACTATCAATCTAATTTATGTGTTTATTTGGATAGGAAAGAAAGTGAGATTTGACCTAAGGGAATATTTACTCAGCATCCAGTCTTTTCCCCTTTACAACTGTGGATGTTTTAAGCAAATGATGGAATGATTTAGCACCATGCCATTGTCCTATGCTCTGCCATCAAGTAGCTTGTGGCATCACCACCCTGTGTTACTGTTGGCTTTGTTTGGACTTTTTCACGGTAACTGTGTCGATGTCGCCATCTTTATCTCTACCATTGGTGACAATAACCATACATCCATGCTGCTTTATGAGGCCATAACTCCGTTTTCTCATTTATCCACTCAGGAACTGCATTATTACCTCATAAAACAGTGTGATTGTACAATTATCAATTAAACCCCGGCTTGTTGAGACTTCTTTTTTGGAAATCTCTTTCCTTATAGGAGTTGGCAATAATTCTCTCTGCCTGAATTCATGGGATTTGTAATGCCAAGATTATAGACTGTGCATTGATTATTATCTGACTATTATTATTGTTTTGCCTTGAAGCTGTTGCATTCTGCTAAGTCCCAGGACCTGTCTTATGTCGTAAAGGGACTAAGGCCGTATAGGATCTATGCCTTTACTGTCTCCCTCTGCAATTCAGTGGGCTGTGTAACCAGTGCTTCAGGAGCAGGACAAACCCTAGCAGCAGGTGAGTACATTCCAATTGAATATAAAGAAATACATCCCTATTGAAAATAAATACCTACAGTACTCCTGCATTTTGGACTTCACATGTGTCTTTTCTGTCTTTTTTGTTTTTAAACAAAGCAAGACATGGAGCCAAGGGTTATGGACACATCAGAAAAGCCCCAAGTTAATATGGAATGAGAATGGCTCCTGTGCTCAGCTTCTACCTAGGTCCACAAAATGTCCTGGCATCTATGAGATGGATTTAGGAGGCATCCCATGAGGCCACAAGACATTTCTCCCCTCAATATGAACTTCTCTTTTGGGGTTGGAACTACCTACTCCTGTCACATGGGGATATCTAGCCAATTCTAAGTTGCCATGACACTATACATTTTTCATCTGTTGGAAAGGCGATTGATTATATATTATTTTATTTATGATTAATAAGACTCTCCTAAGTTTATACAATGTAACAGGAAAAATTGTTAAATCCTTGAATATGGTTTCTATCATTTTTGTTTGCTTTACTGCAAGCCAACGAGAGTTATACAAAACTGAATACATATATCACTACCATCTTCGCACTCCACTAACATCATTTAGAATATTTTCAATTCCCATTGTTTCTGTCAGCTCTTCTGCAAGGCTTAGTTCTCTTTATGGATGTATCTAAATGTACAGAGGTTAGGGGATTCCAACATGAATTAGAGGTATTGTACAAGCATATATTTAATCATCACCCTTCTATCTGTAGGTCTAATTCTATTGTTCCCATCTTCAGTTCTGGAACAACTAATTCGGTCCAAATTATGTCACATAATTACTTTTGCTTGTTACAATTTTCCATTGATGTGAAGGAAATCCCAATTCCATGACAATGTGGTTTATTATCTCAACGACTGAATTCTTCATGAATTTATGGTTAATCTATGTGTATTTCAGATGTGTGAGTACATTTGAGGAATATCAAGTGTATTAAATCATATGGCGACCCTACTTTTCCTATAAGCCAATTTCTTTTTATGAATTATTAGGATTCAAATGTACTAAATTTGAATAAGAGAGGCGAATTCTATCTGTTTTAGGCAAAAGCGGCACAAAATTTGAAAGGATAGTCAATATCACAGATTAACAAAAATAAGACAGAGATTGAGCCAAGCTAAAGTTTGGCCTCTGGTAAAGTGTGGGATAGAGAGGCTCAGCAGTGAGGCAGGTGGCAGCTCCTGCCCCCCAGGTGATAAGGCATTGCAACGTCATCCCGTGCTGTTGCATACCCAGTGTTGCCACATTCATCGTAACACCCCTTTGGGTTTGTCCAATCTGTACCTAATACCTTTAGTGATTGGGAAATGCTCATGTCTCAGACAAACCAGCATCACCAGACCCATCTTCGAAAAGGTGATTTCCATGTTTTTATTTTACCTATACTTATTTGTGTGTTTGTTGTGTGTGTGCACACATGTATAATCACACACATGCATAGTGCTTGAGTGGCGGTCAGAGGACAGCGTGCGAGTGTCAACTCGCTCCACCATGTGGGGTCTAGAGATTGAACTCAGGCCCTCAATTTTGGTGGCAAGCACCCTTAACTGCTGAGCCATCTCCCCAGCCCTGGAGAAGTGAGTTCTGAAGTGGACTGAAAATATCTACCTCTAGTTTCTATTTAACAGTCTTCTCTTAGAGGCTGTTGTTAGTAGAACCTGTCTCTCTCCTGACATCATTGTCCGTAGTATCTCTAATAACACTACATCTGCAAAAGTCTCGTCTCCTCCATGCCATAGTGCACCATCTGCATCTCCTGGAAGAAAGGGTTTGGTGCTGAGCAGGCATATTTTCTAAATATGTCAGCCCATGTTCCTATAGACACAGCAAATGAAAGGAACTGGAGTGAGTCATGCCTGACCTTGGGGACCAGATAGCTCCTGGAGTACAAGAAGGAACTGCCACTCTTGGCATCATTGATGACCTCCCCAATGGTCCTGTCTTGTGGGGTGAAGCAGTGTGTTCCCACCATATAGAAGGCAGCACACCCAGTGCCTTCAGCAGCTCCTTTTCAGTCACTAGTGAGGTAACCTTGGACTTCTCTGGCTCAGGAGTGACTGTGAAAAGGTAACTGGAGCCTCTGAATGGCCAACACATATTTGAAGAAGTGTTTAGCATCCCCATCCTTCTTCTTCCTTTTTTTTTCTGAGATCCAGAATTTGCTGAGATTTATTACATAGACCAGAGAAGCCCCACATTTGTGGCATTCTTCCTGCTTCCACAGAAAATGCAGGTGTGTGCCACTGTGTTTTGTTGTCCCCTGTAGCCATAAAGGAAGTGCAAATTAAAACTGTTTTGTGACTCTTTATTTTTTTCCCATCCCTCTACTTTTTTACTCCTGGGTTTCTTTGAGACAAGGTCTCTCTACATAGCTCGGGCAATCCTGGAACTCATTATGTAGTCCAGGCTGACCTTGAGCTTACAAATTTGCCTACCTCTACCTTCTCAGTCCTGGGATTAAAGGTATGTGCCACTGAGCTTGGCTCTTTCTATCTTTTTATCACAAAGAAATATAACCTAGAAATATCTCATAATCTCTAAAAGCTACATAGATTTCAGATGTGGGTGATAGTTAGCTTTTTATGCTTTGTTTTGCTTTATTTTATTATTTTTTCCAGATAGGATCTCATTATTTAGTTTGGACTGAACTCAAACTCATGATCCTCTTGCCTCAGCCTCCCAAGTCAAAATAAGAATTTATTCATATGCATTTTGTGGGATGAAGAGCAAGTATTTTCTTCTTAGTTATTATTTCTAATTTGCAAACATACTCAAATGGGAAAAAATGAACCAGAATGCAAGAGTTTGAGTTTGGGTTTTGCTACTTACAAGCTAGGTTTGTTATTTTTGCACAACAGTGATCAACCCCTGATATAATGACTAAAGACAGAAAGTGTATTCTGTCTCGGTGTCAGTGGGTTGAATCCATGTGTGTTCAGCCCCATGTAGGAGGACAGTCCATGATGGTAGTGGGAATGTGAGAAGGGAGATGCTATTCACATCATGGTAAACAGGAAGCAGAATGTAGGAGGGGCCAAGGCAACAGGTGTAACCTTCAAAGACACACCCCGTGTGATCTACTGCCTCTTACTTGGCTCCATTTCCTCAAGCTTCCAGAACCTTCAAAACAGCACTTATCAGCAGGGGCCTAAGACTTCAGCAAATGTGCCCATGGGGGACTTTTCATTTTAGAGTACTAGCTGTGAGACCCTTACATGATTTATATTATCTCTATTACTGAGCTTTGCAGTTTATACATAAGGATAACATATTTCACATGGTATTTCTATAGTTCAAAAGATAACATGTGTAAAACGTGTAAGGAAATATTCACCACAGCAAAATGTCCATAAAATTTTCTTCTTATTGCAATTGCCGTCTCATGAAACATGTTTGTTAGCCAATGTCAACACACACTGTGTCCAGCTGCAAGGGTTTACAGTGTTACCAGGGTCAAGAGATGCACCATCCAGCTTTAGACTCTTAGCATTCTAAAGCATTTACCTAACAATGGAAAGCCCTAAAACCAGGCTTCTTGTGAAAACAAACCAGAAAACCTTAAAGTCTAAAGTATTTTTTCCTTCTCTGAGAAGTATACCAATCAAGATTATGATGTCTATTTAAAATATAGTGGAGCTGGAGAGATGGCTTAGTGGTTAAGAGCACTGTCTGCTCTTTCAGAAGACCCAGGTTCAATTTCCAGCACCCACATGGCAGCTCACAACCATCTGTAACTCCACTTCAAGGGAATCCAAGGCCCTCCTCTGGCCTCCATGGGCAATAAGCACACTAGTGGGCACAGACATATATGAAGGCAAAAGACCCATACACATAAAATAAGATAAAAAATTAAAATAAAAGCAAAGTAAAATTAAAAAATTGTGTCCAGATTGCAAATTTCAAATTTGTTGTTTGTAGTATAAAGTCACCAATGTGCCCCAAGCACACCATTAATACGTTATCTTGTAAAATCTCCAATTAGAAAGCAACCATTAAACACTCACTATGTAAAGTCTGTGGGAATTCAAAAGACAATACACATGGTGTTGAGATTAAGGAGTTAACATCTAATTGACTAATTGGCATGAGGATGTGTGCTGGGACTCTTAGCTGGGAAGAAGGCTATAGGAACAGAGGAGAGGCTTTGAGTTGGGAAATTAGGAAATTACCTCACTGGATGCTATTGTAGATGAATTTGGTCGATGGAAAAAGACATTTGTATCTATTGACTGAGCATATAAAATGTACTAGTCCCCATGTTAGAGGTTGGCACTGTTCTAGATATTGCTATGATGAAATCTGTGGTTTATGAAGACTTTTCTGGCAATGTGTTCAGAGGGGATAGGCCTAGATTTTCAGTATTTCTCAGTGGGGAGGGACTAAGGGACTTTGTCCAGTGAGTAGAAGTGATGATTGACAGATGAAATGGGTAGTATCACAGGGAGGACAGCCACAGGTTCAGAGGAGGAAAAGGTTGAAGGCAACAGTATTTGAGTAGACCATGGCATTTCTGTTAAATAAAGTGGGAAAGATGAACATATGGGAAAAACAAACCCATGCGTTTATGTTTGATCATTTGGTAGGAACATATCCGTGACAGCTATAAGCAGCTAGCAGCAGAGCATACAAATCTAGTGGTTAAAATGTTGCTGGTTTTCTAATCACCTGTAGAGATGGAGGGCTATGGTGGAAATGAATCAGTGAAATGGCAAAGACACTATGACGCAGGAGAGGGAGGGGGATCTGTGCGAGCGCATGCGCCCTGGGAAAGAGTGACGGTAAAGGAACAGGGAAACAAGATGAGAGAGGGATTCCCATCTGAAAAGCCCTAGAAGGCGCATGTTACCTTTAATACCACGTGCTGTCCAGAGAGCAAGAGGGCGAGTTCCCTGCAGTGGCCTGAGCTGAAGCTGCTTGTGAAGGACTGGGCTGCAACTAAAGACTACCGTAAAGAAAATTCAAAGGTGGTTCTTTGAA